ATCAAAACCTGGCAACTGAAATTCAACTGGTAAAATTTTCCCCCCGTGATTTTTGGGGAGTGTCTCTGTAATACAAATAATGTCTATACACTCGTTTTCGATCACAGTTAATAGTTCATTTCTTTTGTTCAAAACGGAATCAGAGTTCGTGTAGAAACATTTCAAAACTTTTTGTGCACTTCCATCTTGATGTATGAATAAACTTTTTACCTTATTTACAGAACTAGATTTATATACATGATTTCCACTATTTAATTGTATGAAATATGGCGTTTAATAGCGATGGCAGCACCGGAGTGGATTAAGTTGTCTTTATTGCAGCAATGAACGTTGTAATTGAATATCTTTAGTGGAGTGTTGTCGTCTGTGATGGAGTGATCGTTGATTAGTATTATCTCTTGGTCTATGTGGTTGTGTATGTTTGCATGAGTGAATCTGTTGTTGTACCACTGGCGAACGTTGCGTTTTATTATCTTTATTGAGGGTTGGGGGATCATTGTGATGGGTGTTTGTGGAGTGTTTCGACTTTTTGGCGTTGGTTGTTTTCAGGGTTGTGTGTCTGTCCATGGCGAATAACGTGTCTTGAGGGACGATATAGATTGTTGGCTTTTTGAACTTTAATTTGTATCGTCTCAAATAGTTCACATCGTTTTGGAGGAGTTTAGGTTTTTCAGCGAGAGCTTCAGTCCAAATTCGTTCTTTCTCAGTTATTCAAGGTACCAGCTGTTGTGAGAGAAGGCAGGGATTGGGTCATGGTCTGTTGCTTCTAAATAGTCTATCAGCTATTGATTCATCTAGTCCTGGCATTGAAATGGGTAATTCTCCGTATTGTTCGCCAATAATTCTTTGTTTTCTAGGGTCGCGTTCTTCGTAATGGATTTCGGTTGAAAGGAGGAGAGGGACATTCTGAGGGATTTCGTCAACTGTCTGCCCTTCTGCTAAGTTTAGGGGGACCGTCTCACGTCGTCATCGTTAATAAATTCTGTTTGGAGGTTGAAGTTGGTGTCAGGAGTTTCGGTCTAATTTTGTTTCTAAAAAAGGTGAATATTTTGGCAGAGTCTCTGCCAGGAGAAGTCGCGCCAATGTGTAGTTGATCTCGCAGTTGGTATTCAATGATTTGGGTAGTATGCTGCCGCACCCCTCCTGTCGGGAGAGGTTGGCGATATGTGCTTCAAGTATTATTGCTGTCAGTTTTAATTGTGTCTTGTCAGTCAGCATCAGGCTGTTGAGGTATGTTTGGTTGTTGGATTGCTTGTTTTGCTATGTCTACGCATGTTAAATTTGTTTTGTTTGTGATCATTTCTTGTGATTGCAGTTTGTATTGTAGTTTTGTTAACGGTAGGTCCTTTTGCGGCTAGTATGCGGTGGTCATTGTGGCAGTTTAGACATTTCTTGTAGGTGATAGTGCATAGGCGGCTCATTCAGAGTTAGAGGGAGTGGTGGCTGTGTATTGGTGTGTAGAGTGGTCTTCTATTTCGAAGTATTTATAGCAGATGAGTAGGTGTGGTGAAGTGTACTTGCTCGCATTGTAATGGGGTGATTTTTGTATTGTATATGTAAATTTCATTTGTAAGTATGCGTTGAGCTATTGTGGTGTCTGTGGTAACTATTTAGATAAAGTGGGTGTATTGTTAGCTTTTAACGACGTCCTGTATGTGTAACAAAGTCTGTTTAATCGTAATTTCATGTTTTTTCGTCATCGGTGTTGTTTCTCACTTCTCGGTCGAGTTGTCGTGCGAAAAAGTTTCGTTTGGCTTAAAGGTCGGGAGGTATAATGGGAGTCGTGATCAGGACAATCGGCCCGTCGTGTAATGGAGGACCTTGTGCAATTATTTGAAGCTTTAAAACTGTCGGTGTTGTCTTGCAATGAGGTCTGGAGAAAATATGAGTCAGTTAAAGAGCCACGGTTGATGTGTTGTGTTCGTGGACCTGACTTTGCAAGCTTGTTGGTGGAGGACTATGTTTAGGGTGGAATGCTGCATTGTTCGCAAATTTTTTGTGTCTGACAGGGTATGCTTATGATGAACCGTAGTGAATTTTTAGACTTGCTGCAGTTCAGATTGTGAAGTTTTGGAGATTGAATGAAAAGATGCATCTTACGATGAGAGAAAGGAGGCAAGATCTGTACCTTGTGTAGATTTGTGAGAGATGTTGCTTTTCTGTCTGGCAGATACCAAGTAAGCATCGGCCCTCATGGTCGCTGCCTCCAAGGCCGATCCTTTACGCTACAACTACTGAACAGAATTCTTCGCTACGAACAAATTCTAACAATTATTCTATTGGTTAACAGTGACAGAAATATACGGTCTGCTTAATTGCGGCAACACATGTTGAACTGATGAAACGTCGTCTCTGATCTATCTACCATATCGTTTGCTCTCTCGTTGACCCTGTTTGTTCATTTTGAACTATCAAGTCGCGTTTTTGTGGGAGTTCTTCCCGCGCCTCCTCTGATGCCTTCAGTAACTATAAAGACCGATTGCTGGCAACGGTAGTCTCTTGTGTACTCACCATTCTTAGTTATTTCATTCACGAGATACAATCATTCAAGACACGTAATCAGAAGGAAATATTAAGTATATTCTATATCCTGAGGTTACCGGCTGACTTACCATAATCCTTCATAAAATTGGTATTGCGTTTGTGAAAAGTCACATTTTCTACCCACATTTCATATTTGGAGTTGGCCGATAATCTCTGCTAGAACTCACATCACGGATTCCAGTGGCAGCTCTGCTTTCTTGCTCGGCCGACGTCAGCGCCGCGACGATCTGAAAGAGAATCAATGGTTAATTCAGTTATACGATGACCTGGAATTAATCAGATATGCGTCAACGATGCGACGACCTGCAACATAATACGAGGCTACATCAGCGGAATGGCGATCTGCAGCACAATCAAGGTCTATGTCAACACAGCGACGACCTGCAAGACAAAGTCTATGTCAGCATTGCGACGACCTGCAACACAATCAAAGTTTTAGGTCGAATGGCCCGACTTGAATCAGCCGCGTCAACACGCTGGCCATTGATGAGAGAAATTGACAATGCGGCCAATTCGAACCAGCGTTCTAAACTCTCACTGATAATTTAGTCATAGTTATGTGCTCATCTTGGTTCCATTAATATCAAAAACCGAAGTCGCATCAAGTTGTACTGACCACGCGCGAAAGTTCATGCATGAGAAGAGATGAATGCGGGCATCGGATTAAGCTACGTAAAATTTCCAATAATAATCTCAGCTTTGGCGAACACTTAATCATTATATGTAATTTAGCGTACAACTTTATAAATCCTCCTGCATTCACCCGTCTTATCTATAATCCAATTATTAGAGTTAGAGACACACTTTCCAACCCAAAGCACTAGCAGGAAGAGGACGTAGCACTGATACGCTCATTAGCCGAACCAAGTTCTCACAAGGACAGAAAGTGCATCACGATTTGGACAAAGTCAGGCTCATTTCTCTAATAGATGGATATCAGAGACATATGGTTACAATTAGGTCCTAAGACATCTGCAGATGATGTATAGTGATTCAGAAATACCATTCTGTAGGGCACTGTAGAACAAAACAAGGCGGAACAGAGAAACGCATGATTTAAATCACAAATTCACTTGACAAGTGGCAAAATAATTGACTACTCCTTGTAATTCATTCTTTCTATTCTACCTTCCCTGGAAAATAGCTCCCAACAATACAATCATTTTAGAAGTGGACTCAACAACAATATAAATTTTAGAAGATGGTGCAGCACCCTAGATATTTCTAGAATAGGGCTCAGCAACAATTTTTGTTCAGGAAGAGAGTTGAGTTACACAAAAACCTTTTAGAACCGAGCTCAACAACAATTTGATAATTCTAGGTAAAGCTTATGAACAATAATATTTTATAGATTTTCTAGAAAAGGGTTCCATCAAAATATAGATCATTCTAGAAGAGGGCTCAGCAACATACGAGTATTCTAAAATATGGCCCCGCAACAACACGATCACTCTTGAAAACGGTTCCTCACCAATATTATCATTCTGGGAGAAGGCACCACCACAATATGATAATTCAGGAAGAGAGATTTCACAACAATATATGAATATAGAAGAGGGCGAAGCAACAATACATCAATTGTGAAGTGGATTTAACAACAATATATTATCCAAAAAATTCTTCGCTAAAATACGATGCTTTTAGAAGAGTGTTCCGCAACAATACGATCATTCATGACGAGGGCTCCACGACCTTTCGATCATTGTACATCATATGGAAAGGCTCCATAATAATACGATCATTCTAGAAGAGGGCTCTAAACTATACATGTATGATCATTCGCGAAGTGGGCTCTAAACAATACGATCATTCGTGAGGATGGCTCTAAACAATACGATACACTCGCGGTCGGTCTCTTGGCCTTTCTCGCGGCCAATCTTCAAATGGGAGCGCAGCCGTGCACCACCAATTTTGTGCACCAATAAGCCCTGAATCGAACGCCTTGGATCTCTCCGGACATCCACCAATCAGCCGTGAACAACTCGGCTTTGTCTTCCTCCGGCCTCGCATAGAACCTGCCGTGCACCACCAGGCCGCGGATCGAATCTGACTTCCGGGCATAGTTAAGTTACGTAATTTTACGTTCACCGCATCTGAGGTTAGGTTTCAGATAGCATAGTTCTGTTCCAACATTTATCGTCCTTCGACAAGTGGCCGTTCGACCGAGGGCTAGTTCGACCCACGGCCTAGATACGGACGGCTTGAAGTGTTGACGGCTACGTTCCGGAAGGCAGGAATCATGATGGTCCATTACATCCAGGGCAGTGGTGATCTTCGGCAGGCGACCCCTTCAAATTCAGTGACAAAAGAATATCCCCAAAACTAATTAACGCAGCTCAATGAAACTTGGTACACGCATTCACCAGGACCTAGCGGTGGTGTTTAGCTTGTGAAAGTTTTTTTCCATTTCACCTTCATTCGTGCAATTCCGGCCGACATTTGCTGTGACCTAGAAATTTCTTCAAAGCTACTGAACAGATTTGAATTAAACTTTGAATATACAAACATAACCTCCCAACGGTGATGTTTAGCTTGTGACAATTTTTTCGATTTTGTTTTGTTCACGAGCAATACGAATATACAGAGAAACCACCGGCATTTCTAGGCCAATTTTTAAATTTGCATTGACGTATAGCCGTAGGCTATGCAAGGTCGCCTAGGTGACCTCGGCTAGGATCATGGTAGCCGAGCCTCAGCGCCGAGGCACCGCAACAATACGAGTATTCCAAAAGAAGGCTCTAATTACAGTTAAGGACTTTGCTAGAGTAAATAATTTTGGAATAATATGAGCAACAACGGATCATTCGACTAGAGGTCTGTTCAATAATACGATTATTCTAAACGAGAGTTCCACAACTTTTCAATCATGCGAAAAGATTTTTCTAAACAAAAGAGGGTTCAACAGTCGTGTATTATCCTAAAAGGGTGCTCCCCAAGAAAATGCTCAATATTGGAGAGGACTCTACAATAATATGCTCAATCTAAAAGAGTGTTCGACAACAATTTGATCGTTCTAGAAGAGGTCTCCACAACAATACGATCATTCTAGTAGAGGGATATGAAAATCTGCAATCATATTAGATGAGAGCTCCTAAACAATACAGTCATTGTAGAAGAGCCCTCAACAATACGATCACTCTAAAAGACGTCTTTAAGACCGTATGGCATTCCTTTAAGGGCTCAACAAAAATAAATCATTCTAGAATTGGGCTTAGCAACATTGTCATTCTGGTAGAGCGCTCCAAGACAATATAGCATACAAGACGAGGGCTCAGTAATCATATATCATCCTAGAAGTTTGTTTCACTGCAATATAGTCTAGAGAATGGCTTCACAACAATACGATAAAACTATAAAATGGTTTATCAATAATTAGAGCATTCAAAACGAGGGATCCACAACATTACCTTCATTCTAGAAGAATACTTCAGAACATTTCATTCTAGAAAAAGGCTCGGCAACTTCATATTCTAGAAAGGTTTCCGCTACAATATGATCTTTCTTGAAGAAGTCTCCACATCATTCTTGAAGAGGCTAAAATAATAGATGATCATTCAGAGCCAATAGATGATCAGCATAAACAATGTTGACAATAAAACAATAGATGATCAACAATAGATTCTTCCAGAAGAGATCAATAGATCATCTAGATTCTAGAATAAACTTCTAGATGAGGGCTCTGCAACAATACGCTCATTCTAGAACAGGGCTCCATGAATATACGATTATTCTAGAGAAGGGTTCTACAACATTATAAGTAAGGAAGAGGCTTCAGGAAAAATACGATCATTACGCAAGAGAGTTCAGCAAAATTGAGATTATTTCGGAAGGTCCCAGAAGGATTACTAGAATTTGAAACAAGAACCAACACCAGGGGCCACGGCTATAAACTAAAACACAGCGTTGGAACACATCCATGCGACAACATTTCTTCTCGCTTCGAGTCACCGACATGAGGAACAGCCTCCATAATAGCATCGTTGATGCTCCGAGTATGAACATCTTCAAAAACAGACTAGACGAAGCTATGCAGGATCATATGTTCAGTCTTAAAATGCCTAGCAAATTACGGAGCAGGCAATAAGTCCAGCAGCTATCTCAATCAATCGTCAGTTATGGAAAGATCGGGTTCCAAAGGCCGGATCCCTTGTGAATCAAGTCACGAAAAGTTCAAGAATCGGCAAGGCAACAGGCCATGGGCCTATTTCTTCAATGCCGACACTTCTATTCTATTCTATAGTAGAAGACTCGGCAATAAAATGATTATTCCAGAAAGGATTCAGCAACAATACGATCATTCTATAAGAGAGCTCGGCAACAATACGATCATTCTAGAACAGGGCTTCGCAACAATATGATCAACATAAAAGAGGCTCCACAAAAATACCATTATTACAGAATAATGTTCTACAGCATTATATCAATCAAGAAGTGGGCTCCACAACAATAGATCACTCTAGAAAAGGACCCCGTAACAATTTAGGCTAATCGCTGTTAGCATGAACGAGACGAGCAGTCTCTTCCTCATTAATTGAAATATAAAATTACAAAATGATCGATGACTTCAACTGATGAGATGTGCACAACGCTGCTATACAAATGCACCAATAATATAATATGAGGAATATCGTGTATGCCAACGCTATAATTTGTTGTTCCATTGATAAAAGTAGGCTTCAGGCTTCATAAACTTCTTTAGCGGTGATGTGAGAATAAAGAAATTTGGGAAAGACTTTCAAATCAACTAAAATTTTCATTTCATGTCTTAAACCTGCCCCGCAACCCCCACCCGATGTCTTAAACCTGCCCCGCAACCCCCACCCGATGTCTTAAACCTGCCTCGCAACCCCAACCCGATGTCTTAAACCTGCCCCGCAACACCCACCCGATTTCGTAAGCCTGCCCCGCCACCCACCAGCCTGAGGAAGATCACCGCGCAGGCTTTGGACGCGACTTTCATGGCTACGGCGTTGCGGTCCGGGGGAGCGTGAGGTGTTGATGAAGAAGAAAAGGGCGAATCACGCGTCAACTTCAGCGTACACAATTTCCGTGGACAATGTCCTGCGGGAAAGAAGGGGATAACATTCAATTCGATAGAATACCGTATCATCGATTAGGTCACACTGTGTCCAATACATTAGAAATCTCTTCGCACAGAGAACAATATTTTATGCATATGAACATTTCAACTCAAGAACACAGAACTTAAATCACGACCATTCATTTTAAACTGCACTTAATGCACCATAACTCCGCATAGCAAGTCATTTAAAGCAAAGAATAACTACCATTCAGCATTTGATACAAGAGCAAACCCCCGCTCGTCGAGCCCAGTATCCAGTGCAAGGGAATACCGGCAGGGGAATAAGGAATAAGTTTCTTTTGTTTTTTAAGCAGGTTGTTTCAACTCAGAAAATTCATATATATTATTCGATAGTTAAATAAATTATTTATATATATACATATTTGGCTAACATGTCATGTATTAGAGTTTAGGGAATTTCGCTTCATTGACTTAGGCTTCAATCACCCTTGATCCGTGATCTTATGTATTACTTTTATCTCTGACGAAATAATAATTGCAGTCGGTAGACAAAATCAGGAGATAATTCATCAATCCCTGTTTAAAATTCTGTACACGATTTTGATTGCAACTTTTCTTCTATTTTCTAAACTGAATTGTAAGATTACGGTTCGATTCAGAATCAACCACGGTCCAAAGATCGTTTTTATTGATAATTATTGGACGTCGACGTCGTCACTTATGAATTGCATTAAACGTAACAGCAACTTCGTCCCCTCTTATTAAATACCTCAAAATACAAGTCACAAATGCCTGAGATCTCATCCCACTTGGGCACGCGTGGACAGTGGGGTCTCAACTACACTGCGTAATATATTGATGACCATTAATTTAATATGCGTGCAGGGCAAGCGTACATGAATAGAAATGCGTACGAATATCTCTAGCCCGCGTTATATTCGAGCTTCATGCATATACTTCGTATCTACTGCAAACTACGTGAAAAAATGTATGTTACAAACATTTCATTACTTTACGCTTGATTCCTCGAAACATAAAAATTTCATCTAAAATCATTGATCGCCACTTTAATTATTTATGTTAATCACGATAAATTTAGACACGCAGATAACAAATTCACTTGGGAGCTTTCCTTCTATCAATTAGGAAATGCCCCACATAAATCTTCCTTCTCCTACTCCTCCTATACAGTAAATATCCTCTGAAACCAAACATGCAGAGCCCGGTTACTACTATTTCGCCTTCAAATTTAACTTAAGTTGACTAAACAGCTGATTTTTAGCGGTAAATCTAAATCCATTGATTATAAAAGCGCTAATACTGCCAACCTAAATAATCATTTATATTCACTCATTCTAAATTATATTTTATAGATAATTGTGCAGGTGCTGTTACTGTAAACTTTAGTTATTCCGATATTTTCAGATGTCATTCATATACGCTGCAGAAGAAAATCCTAGTGAGGTAAACACTGGAGTAATGTTTCTCACCTATTCACTGCAGCGTGTCAGCTCTGCACTCAACTGCACTGTCGATAAAACTGATCAGACCTCGAATGTCGGTAAGAACCCTGAGGGCTGGCAAGTGGTGGGTGGTACAGACTGTTAAACAGGTGCGCTGCAAGTCGACGTATATTAACATTTATTATGTTAGTTTACGTAGACTTCGATTCTTTAATGTTACTAGAATGAGGAGACGTTCTTACTTATTCCGAGTAAAAACTAGAAAAGAAATTATTTACAGGTGCGTATTAACAGTACGATGCCCTTGTAATGAAACTTTCACGTGACTTAATCAAAATATGATCTTGTTATGTGTTATTCTATTTATTCTTTCTTTCTTCTTTTCTTTATTCTTTGTTATTCTATTTATTATTCTTTCTATTTTATTGATCGGTGATAACGGCGAGCACGATGAACGCTTTTTCTGCTAAGAGATGGTGAAAATGGAAAAACTCATTATTAGTGAAAATATATTTTTAAAATTGGTACATTCATAAGTTCCATCTTACAAACAACGCACAAAGATCCTAGTGCCACGTGTAACTCTGTTCATGTGCTGCAAATGGCGATATTCGGCACCTATTCTCCACAATAATGCTAACACTTGCTTCATGAGAAATCTAGTCAATACAGAGAAACAAATGAGCTCTTTGTATGTATCGGAAAAATAAAAAGGAAACATTTCGTTTTTCTCTACACCTGCGCGTCGTGCTCAGGTTGAGGCTCCTCCCACTTCTCGTTTTTGAGAGCAACGAGCGCAGCCACGCTCGTGCACAGTATCTGTTCCGTCTGACTCTATAACATTTTTTAATATTATGAATAAAAATAATCGATTAGATACAATATTGAATGATTATTCGTAAATCTTTCGAGAGATATTACCAATCCGCTACCAACGTTCGATGGCAGAGTCCGTTTCTAATTAGTGACACCTCGACTTGTATAGAAATATATTTACTTTTTGTATTCTAATCTTATTATATTCTAATTTGTGTCACTTCGACTAAAATCGAAGCAAATGTTACTAAACAAGCTTGGTCTCAACTAGCAGCAGAGCCGAATTTTATCCTGAATTTAGTTTGATTGATAAGGTAGGCAGATCGAAGAACGTTGATATTGAAAAAATATAGATATATCGTTCGTAATAAGAGTGAAGCAAATTTATGTATTGAACACTGGCAGTTTAAATAGTAACCCAGTATTGCTCGAGACTTATTCCACCTGAACTTTGATAATACTTATATTACATCAGCTTTCATCGCATTAATCTTTATTATAATTATTATTTTCATATAAGCTTCAGATTAAAATATTTTATTTCAAGTAAGATATTAATTTTCGCATGTAACCCTGTTGCCGTGTAGAGGAAGTACACAAAAAGCTTTAAAATGTTTCGCAACAAACTCAAAATTTTTTCTTAAAGAAAGAAGTGAGCTGTTTGTTACCTGTGAAAGCAAAAGAGCGTATAGAAATTATTTGTAACAATGCGATGTACGGAAGTCTGAAAACGACCGCCAGACTTAGTCATTTTGCAATCCAGAAACGACAAGCAATTGTAGGATTCGAATTCCATAGTGAATTTTATTGAAAGATGTTTGAGGTTTAGATAATCAAAGAAATGGCCCGCATGAGAGGTGACCTTGAAGATCAGAAAGGCATCATAAATATATCTACATATTATAAAAAAATCAATGGGACAATCGGCCAACCAAGAAACCTCATGAAAGCACATGAAAATGTTAGCGAGTGTGAAAATGTTAGCCATTCCTAAACCATTAACTTGTTTATAAAGTTTACCAGCGAAAATGAAAAAAGAGTTCATGACTGATAATTCCGGAATCTTTTTGAAAAGACTGCGGTTAAGACCGATCACCAGATCATTTGCATCCTTAAACAAGGAGTTGAGGCAGATTTCAATAGTTTCTGTAAGAGGAATATTAGTGAACAAATTTTCCACATCGAACGAAGCCATAGTCAGGTGCTGAACATCGGTAAAATCTTTCAAACGGTCGACGAAAGAATACGTATTATCAACAGTAAACTAGTTAGTAGTTAGACAATTCAAAATGGGAACTAAAAATTTAGCTATGTTAAAGCTAGGAGTGTTATACACAGCAAAAATAGGTCGGAATTGAAATTTCGAAGCGAAATCAGGCTTATGAATTTTAGGAAGGCCGTACAATATGCCAGGACACTAACCAGGAACGTGCAGGTTAGAAAAAGCTTCAGAGGCAAAGGCGGAGGAATCTTTAAGTTTACGAATGAAGTTATTAATTTGATCCTCAATTTTCAAAAAGGTTTTAGAGATAGGGCTAGTGATTTCCACGAATTTCGAAGGATCGGAGATGAGAGCAAGCATACTGCTGGTGTATCGGTTACGGTCAACCAGAACCACACCGCGACCTTTATCAGGCTTGCATATAAGCAGATCCTTATTCTTGGCTAGGTCCCTCAAAAGACGGAAGTCACGAGGTTGAAAAACTGACGAGATAATTTGGTACGATTTGAAACCGTAGAAGTGACGATACGCACGCTAAACGTATCGTCGCGTTTGACCGAAACTTTCAGGATGACCACTAGCCAAACTCACCACAAAAACTCGCTAATCCCTGTGATCCTGGGAAAGTTTTCAACTTCAGTTTTTACAATATTGAACCTCGTACTATAAGTTCTTGCTTGCGTTTGGTCTTCCTGTTTTCAAACTAGACTATTAAATTTTTCTAGCATTTGAACGTCTTGCTATGGACATGAAAAATGTGGCCACTTCTAACCGCCCAGAATTTCTTGGTCATCTTCAAAGCTTAGCGTATCGTCACTTCTACGGTTTCAAATCGTACCAAATTATCTCGTCAGTTTTTCAACCTCGTGACTTCCGTCTTTTGAGGGACCTAGCCAAGGATAAGGATCTGCTTATATGCAGAGCTGGGCAACGCTACTTTGAAATGTAGCGGCGCTACCGCTATCGCTACATGCTCTAAATGTAGCGGGCGCTACCGCTACCGCTACACCCACTAGATTGTAACGGGCGCTACCGCTACAGTAAAATGTAGCGCGCTACAATGGCCAAAATTATTGGAAATCTCTAAATATTTATTGTTCTGCTATTGTTAAAAATGCGAAAAAAATGGGAAGAACGCGAAAAAAACGATGAGGAAAATAAAAAATTAGGGCTCTACAGTCGCTAGATATTGTTGTTACAAATCGAATGATATGTGTCTCGACATTGTAGCATGTGATTTGTAAAAGTTATAAACTTTTTAGAGTACCCCCTTATATGCCGTTTTCTATTTTTTCCACGTTTTCTTTCATTTTTTTTGTAAATTTACATGAACAAAAAGGTCTTACCAAGTGTACCAAGTTTCAAAACGATCCTCCTGTAAACAAAAAAGTTTTGTTGGAGGGTAGCCGGTCCCCTTAAGTAAAATCTAAAGGCTTTGTCTATAAATGTAGCGGTAGCGCTGTAGCGGCAAAACCTCGTATCGCTACTTAAATATGTAGCGGGCGCTACCGTTACCGCTACATTGCCTTAAATGTAGAGCCGCTACCGCTACCGCTACTGAAAATGTAGCGGCCGCTACATGTAGCGCGCTACTGCCCACCTCTGCGAGGCTGAGTTATATGCAAGCCTGATAAAGGTCGCGGGTGGTCCTGGTTGACCGTAACCGATACACCAGCAGTATGCTTGCTCTCATCTCCGATCCTTCGAAATTCGTGGAAATCACTAGCCCTATCTCTAAAACCATTTTGAAAATTGAGGATCAAATTAATGTCTTCATTCGTAAACTTAAATATTCCTCCGCCCTTGCCTCTGAAACTTTTTCTAAACTTCGCGTTTCTGATTCGTGCCTTGGCATATTGTACGACCTTCCTAAAATTCATTAGACTGATTTTGCTTCGAAATTTCAATTCCGACCTATTTTTGCTGACTATGACACTCCTAGCTTTAACATAGCTAAATTTTTAGTTTCCATTTTGAATTGTCTAACTATACTAACCAGTTTACTGTTGATAATACGTACTCATTTTTCGACATTTGAAATATTTTACCGATGGTCAGCACCTGAATATGGCTTCGTTCGATGTGGAAAATTTGTTCACTAATATTCCTCTTACCGAAACTTTTGAAATCTGTCTCAACTCTTTGTTTAAGGATGTGAATGATCTGGTGAGCGGTCTCAACCGGCCTTTTCAAAAAGATTCTAGAATTATGTCACGAACTCTTTTTTTTCATTTTCGCTGGTAAACTTTATAAGCAAGTTGATGGTTTAGGAATGGGCCTTCCCCTTGGTCCTGCACATGCTAACATTTTCATGTGCGTTCATGAGGTTTCTTGGTAGGCCGATTGTCCCATTGATTCTAAACCGATTTTTTATAGTATTCAGCTATGTTGATGATACCTTTCTGATCTTCAAGCATCCCTCTCATGCGGGACTTTTCTTTGATTATATAAACCTCAAACATCCTTCAATAAAATTCACTATGCAATTAGAATAAAACAATTGCTTGTCGTTTCTCGATTGCAAAATTACTAAGTCTGGCGGTCGTTTTCAGACTTCCTTATATCGAAAACCGACATTTACCAGCTTGGGTATGTGCTTCTTTGGCTTCTGCTCGTTTCGTTTCAAATTGAATAGTTTTCAAACTTTGTTATACCGCGGCTATAGGGTTTGTTCTACCTTCCATGATATGCATTTGTAATTCGAATTAACTCGTAATATATATCAGCTTAATGGTTGTCCATCATGTCTTGTGTTTAGCAAAATCAAAAGCTTCTTATCTAACAAATTTTCTAAAACTGTGACTGAATGCGATAGTAAGAAAATTGTTGATTGCGCATTGCCCTATTTTGGTAGTGCGTCTGAAACTATGTCCAGAGAACTAAAGATTTTATTTATGAAATATTTCCCGACTATAAATTTGCATGTTTTGCTGGCAAATAATTTCAAAATTGGTTCTTTCTTCAGGTATAAGGAAGTTATTCCTGCTCGGATGCGATCAAACCTGGTCTATGAGTACAGTTATCTCTGACAAAATAATAA